TTCTCTAAACTTTGTTAATGGCACGCACTAGATGCGGCAGACGTTTTGGAAAGCTGGCAACGCCGCCGGCTGTAACATCGTCGTCGTCGTCAAAGCTAGGGCTCACGACGCTGCCAGCCGTGTTTCTATTGGGGATCTTCAAGAGCAACTGAGCCACCGCAACTCCGGTGAGCGGTCGGCAGCACGTACTGAGGATACTATCACACCGACCAACGAGGTACCTGTAGAAATTCCTCCTCCACTGGCCACTCAACCCATTCTGACCATCGCAGAGGTGATGGCTCGCATGCTAGACGTGTACGAGCGAGAAAAGAGCTTGGCAGCTAATGCTGCTCGGCCACGACCTGCCTAGTCAGTACCTTTGGAGTAAGAAGTGCATACTGTCTCTCAAGCATCCGAGCATTCTGTGCGCTCGTGCGTGGCCGTTGCGGTCAGTACGTTCAAGTTAGGGTCTGCAGCTCCCGCTTGGTCAACCTTGGATTGGCTGGGCGGTCGAGCCGGACACCGCTCACCCACTCGGCCAGTTGAGAGGGTTAGAGAGCGATCCACAACAGAACCCCTACGAGACGCATAGAAGGTCTTGGGTTAAGCAGCTGAAGAAGGTCTTATGGACCTACCAGACGACTCTCCGCTGAGACTACGTTCGCCTGAGCATATGGGTTTGAGGCCAAGGAACCCAAGGAGATACAGATTCCCAGTCGGCGGATTTTATTATATAAAGACAAGGACAACGAGGAGAGCCTACAAATCAAGAAAAAATTCTTAAAGGAAAGAAGGGTGGTCGGTTACGCGCGAATAGCTGAATACCAACAGACAGTCAAGCGGTATCAGGACAAGAGAGCACGAGTAAGATACTATCAGGTGGGCGACCCAGTCCTGAGGAATTGGGAGGCTAGTCGGCCCACCAAGGGTGGTAAGCTAGCAATTAAGTGGGAAGGGCCCTACAAGATTGCGGTGGTCGTCTATTCGGGAACCTACCGACTGGAGACTATGAAGGGAGGCTGGTGGACCGTATGTAGAACGTGCACCACTTAAAGAAATTTTATCAGTAAGCTAGTTTTTTTTCCCTTCTTTTTATTATTCAGTGTAGGCACTTAGCGGCCAAATTACTTTTGGTTATTCGTTTAGCAATAAAGTTCGATCAGTTCATGTTAGCATCCTCTTTGTAATTGGTAAGGGAGTTTTTTTTTTTTTTTTTTTTTTTTAAAGGTTCATCTTATTTATAAACAAAACGGGAACCGAACAGAGTCTCGCCAAGGCCCAAAAGTGACCAAGGCACCAGAAAAGAAAGGACAAGGCCCAAAGTGACCAAGTCAACAAATAAAACAAAAAGGACAAGGCCCAAAAGTGGCCAAGTCTACAAATAAAGCAAGAAGGCCTAAAGGCAAACAAGTAAAGGAGAAACTCTAAACTACAAAGTGGGCCCAACACCCATACTGCAAACAACCTGGTACTGAGTGAAAGCTAGACAATTCCCGGGCGTCATGCCCTACACTCAGGGTGGGAACGATGCTCCAACAAACTATGACGAACCAATTCCACCCTCAAGCGTCAGGTCGGTCCCCCGCGGTACAGAGCTCTGCATTTTTATCCGAGGGGACCTATATGACCATCCACAAAAGCAATGAAATCAACCGCCAAACCCAAACCACCCTCATGCGTTGGACAGATCCCTGCCGGTACAGATCTCTGCATTTTTATCCGAAGGGACCGTGAATAGTCCGCCACATGAGCAATGGTACTCACCTCCATCCACCCTTGGAACCCAGGCCACCCCCGTACGTACAGAGCTCTGCATTTTATCGCAGAGGGCTTCAACGGCCCAAGGTCCCAAGCAATGGCTCCCTAACCACTGGTGCCAACATATATACCACCCTCAAGCGTCAGGCCAGCTCCCACGGTACAGCGTACTGTATTTGACCCGGGGAGCCTATATAGCCATCCACAAAAGCAATAGCATATATGCTAAGTACCAAAATCCACCTCAAACCCTCCCAACCCTTAATATAAACAGCCAGCCTTAATTCACCAAACACCATAAACGCAGATATATATATACAAACAAGACTAAAGGAGCACTCCCACCTCAGAGTGTACGCTATGCATGAAACCAACGAATACATCTGGCAAACACACAGCAACACGCAGAAACAGGATAAGCATTGAGAACACAAAGCAGAAAGAGAAACCCGATACCAGAATCCCTTTATGCCCCCAGTAAACAAGCTATACATGCGAGAAAAAACTAGCCACAAAATAAAATAAAATAATAAAAGACGAGAAAATAAAACGAAAGAGAAATAAAGGAGAGCACCGCCCTCAAGGCGGGTCCGCAAAGTCGAAGGAAACATAGGGCACGTCATCATCGATGAGGAGAGCGCGCACCCTAGGTGGTAAGGCAGCAAATGTAACGAAGGCAGTCTCCCCAGGTGTATCAAGGGCCCAATCTGCAAGAGCCTGAGTCGGGAGATTCGCCCGGGGAGAACATAGCATGAAATTGATAGTGCCGCAGGAACAGAGGAAATGCAGCCTGGAGACCACGTCATCCATATACCAAGGTGTGGTGGCCGAAGCATCAAAGTAAGCCTCCAGGTCACGGACAGAGGTCTCCACCACAAGAACCCGATGACCTCCGTCCATGCACCAAGTCAGACAAGAAAAGAGAACTCGGAAAAGGCCCCGAATAGTCTCCCCCTACCTAGACCAGGAAACCCCGTAGCAAAGCCCGCCACCTTGGTTACGGACCAAGGCAGCCGCCCCCCCTTCTGAAGCCGAAAGCGCAAGATTAAGCTTGAGAGAACCAGAAGAAGGGGGGGACCAACGAATAGAACGGATCACTCGGCGAGGCACATGTGCCTCCAGATAAGACACAATCATCCTCCAATTAGGCGGGAGGATATGCTGACCCGGCCACCGCCGATATAGGCACTCAACCACGCCCCGAGCTACCCCAAACATAACTCGCGCAACACTCGGGGTATCTCGGCCGTGTAAGCACCCATTGTGGTGCTTCCAGAGTTCCCAGAGAACCAGATATGGCAACCTGCAAAGAACAAAAGAGCGAAGAGGGTTATGCGTACCACTCCGCCCCCAGCTAGCGATCAAAGTCCGTAAACTCCTATGGCGTGACTGGAGGCCGAGGGACGCAAACACATGATGCCACACAGCACGAGCTGTGTCTCCTGAGTAAAAAATATGTGCAATGGAATCAAAAGCAGGAGCCGGACAACACCAACATCTCGAGACGACCACATGGCCAAAACGAGATATGACGTCATCCGTAGGCAGGTGACCCTGAAACACCCTCCAGGATAAGAAGGACACCCTAAAAGGAAGGTGCTTATGCCAACATCTAGCAAGGAAGGGATCCGGGTCAACAAGCCTAGCAGGTCGCAAAAAGGACTTCGTCGTAGCGAAAGAAAACATACCGTCGGATGCTGGACGCCAAACAGGAATATCTCGCGGTCCTTGCCCAAGTCGGGACAAGTCCACCTGTAACCCGGCCAAAGCCAAGTCCGGATGATCAAACAAGTCGAGGACGCCATCAGTAACGAAGTCAAGAAGCGGAGCGCGGGAGTATGAGACCCCCGGGAAAGGGTATAGTCTGCCAAGCGGACCAAGACCCGACCAGTTGTCCCACCAGAAATTAACCCGGCCTTGGAACAACCGCCAGCCCATGGCACGCTCTGCCTCATCACGAACAGCCAACATCCGCTTCCAGGTATGAGAGTCTGAAGTCCGGACAAGTTTTGCAACCGGGTGAACCCGGCTACAATACTTTGCCCGCATGAAATCTGTCCATAGCGTGTGCTCAGTGCGAAAAGTCCCCCACAGCTTCGCACTAGCAGCACGCACCATCAAGTCCAAGTCTAAGAAACCAACCCCGCCCTCTTTTTTGGGAAGGGCGAGATTCTTCCACGAACTCCAGTGATACCGGGACCCACCTGACTGCCTCCAAAAGAAACTGGCAAAACAACGCTCAAGGTCCCGGATCACCTGCTTAGGCGGGGCGCAGGTGGCGAACAGATGTAGGGGTATCGCCTGTAGAATTGAAGTAATCAAAGTGGCCTTCCCGCCCTTCGACAAGACACGGCGTTCCCAGCTCAAACACTTGGCCTTCACCTTGTCAACTGTAGGGCTAAAGTAAATGCACTTCTTTCGTCCCACGTACACAGGGCAACCAAGATATGTAAAGGGGAATGAGCGGTGGATACAACGAGTTGCCCGACGTACTCTCTGAAGCACTCTATCCGGAGTACGAGGATGCATGTAGAAAGCACTCTTCTGTAAACTGACCAGCTGTCCTGAGATAGTCTCATACTCCTTGAGGGCCGAGATGACAGTCTTAATGGCACCCTGTCTGGTCGTACTGAATATAATTATATCATCTGCATATGCCAAGTGGTGGATGTGCGGGGTGGCTGAGTGAAACGGGGGACTGCAGGATCCTCGTAGACACGAGCCAAGTAAACTGAAAGAACCTTAGCCGCGATGACGAACAAACTAGGCGACAAAGGATCTCCCTGCCGCAGTCCCCGGGACGAAGCAAAGAAGCCCTCTTTGACGCCATTGACAATCACCGAGTACCAAACATTAGACACTGCCCGGAACACCAAGTCAATCCATGTCTCTGAAAAACCGAGGCGGCGCATCACCAAGGTCAAGAAAATCCAAGAAACGCGATCGTATGCTTTAGCCATGTCTAACTTAAGCACAACGTCACGCTTCTGTACCTGCAGTCCGTGGCACATCTCTGAAGCAAGTAGGATGTTGTCAGTAATCGATCTCTCGGCCACAAAACCACTCTGGTGTGGTGACAGAAGGCGGGGAAGAACCGTGGCCAATCTAACCACCATCAGCTTGGTGACTATTTTGCTGCTGAAATTACACAAGCTGATCGGTCTGTAATCTGCACAAGTCTCTGGATTCGGCTTCTTCGGAAGCAGGACGATGGATGTGTGCGTGATAGCCCTAGTGAAATCTCTGCCCAAGAAGTAACTCTATACCATCAGAACCACATCAGCACGGATAATATCCCAGCAAGCCTTGTAGAAGGCCCCCGAGAAACCATCTGGACCAGCAGCACTGACTGAACTCATCTGAAACACGGCGGCTTTGATCTCCTCCTCTTCCGGTACCACAGTCAGCAAATCATTGTCGCCCTCAGTGACCAACTGCGGAACACAATCAAGCAAAGCAGTATCAAAGCCCCCAATCTCGGCAGTAAACATGTGCTCAAAGAAAGATACTGCCTGTGCAGCAATACCCTCCCTATCCTCAATCCACTGTCCTGTATCATCTCTAACTCTGTGTATGAAGAGTTTCCGCCTGCGCTCTTTTACAAGAGAGTGAAAATAATGAGAGTTCCTCTCACCCTCCTGTACCTCGGTGATGCGCGCCTTCTGTTGCCAAAACTCTTCCTCAATCATGACTTGCTTTTGTAAGAGTGCAACCCCTTCCTTATATTCCAATAAAACGTGATCATCATCAGGGTGTTGCTGGAGAGCCCTCTCAAGGGCTTGTACACGGTCCTCATACTCTTTCAGGCGGGCAAAAATGTTTCCAAAGACCTCTTTACTCCAAACACTGAGGGCCTTAGCAAGTCTGTTCAGTTTAGTGGCCAGGACATACATAGGAGCACCAGAAACCGGGGCTAACCAGTTATCACGCACCACCCGCTGAAAATCGCCATGCTTTGCCCACACATTCAGGAAAATGAAATGCTTCGGAACCACCTGCGCACTCAAAAGATCACAAGATATAAGCAGGGGACTGTGGTCGGACGTGGCTTTTGACAAATGCCGAACGGATGTCTTGAAAATCGCGTCCCACACCGAGGTATAGAGACAACGATCCAAGCGCATCCAGATGGCCGCCTCTTTACGTCTCCCATTCCACCAGGTGAAACAGGAGCCATAAAAAGTCACGTCAATCAAGTCACACGTACTCACACAGTCCCGAAAAGGCGTGGTCCGCCGATGAGGGTACGGCAAACCACCCTTTTTCTCATCCACACTAAGCAAACAATTAAAATCCCCCGCGACAGACCAAGGAACGCCGACAGGTAACCTAGCCGAAACGGAGTGTAACTCATCCCATAAAGGCACCCGAAGGCGTTCTTTGGTCTTAGCATAAACAAATGAAATCCAAAAGGGAGACGGCACAGTAGAGAGAGCACAAGCCACCGAGATACACTGATCAGACTGGCCCTCAATACTCACCGAAAGATCATTATTCCAAAAAAGCCAGATTTTATTATTGCAAGAAGATAAAGAGTGATCAAAACTAAAACGAAGCTGAAAATACCCAAGCCGATCAGGAGAACTGAAAGGCTCGAGTAAGCACAAGATAGATGGTGAGTGTGATCTAAGTAGCACACGGATCCGATGAAAGGATCCCTGCGAAGCAACCCCACGTACGTTCCAAACAAGAAATCTCATGAGGAAACGGATGAGGCAGAAGAACGAAGACGGGGGTTGCCCCCTAGATCAGCAAAAGCAGAAGAGCGTCCCATCGGCATAGCCATACGTTGAGCCGTGTGGGTGTCAGGGTCTGAAGCAAAACCCGACGCCCAAGGACTCACTGTATGGCTAGCTGGAGGGACATCACCATCAGACCAGGACTTATCCCTATCCCTAGGAGGATCCCATGGAAAGACCGAAGTGGCCTCCCGGGGGCTATCCCCAGCAGCCACGACTAACCGAAGAGTATCACTCGGAGGGGAACAGGGAGGAGTCCCGATCTCAAGAGCAGCAGAAGAGAAAGAAGGAATCGAAGTAGGAGTAAAAGAAAATGATACCTGATGCGGGCGCTGTAGATCCGCCCGCCCTGAAGATACCGGAGACAAAGGCCGCTCATTCCCTTCCGGAATAGGGGGAAGATGAGCAGCCGGAGGCGGCACAAGAGTCGGGGCATATTGAGGGCATCGAACGAGTTGTCCACAACAACGGGCGCATAGGCCGAGTTGTCATAAACAACATCATAGGACTCCGCAACATGGTCCCGAGATGATCCAGGATCAGGGTCAACCACAAGGGCTTTCCCTTTAGCTAATCTCATCCTGCGGTTATACCGCTTGCGCTGATTTCGGGTCATGCCCTGAGTCGCGCGGTCCACACCAATAGTAGCATGAGCCGGGCCTGCAGCTGCCGAAATAGTCACAGGGGGAACAACACTACTAGGTGTGGTAAGGGAGTTAGGAGTTTGTAGTCAACCCTCCCCACGAGGTCAGCTGACTTAGCCTTTTCAGGCACGAAGTTTGGGTAAGCAGTCATGCTACGTGCAGTCAGGAATTTGCAGTCACCCCTCCCCGCGAGGTCGGTTGACTTTGCTTTTCAGGCACTAAGTTTGGGTAAGCAGCCACGCGACGTACAGTCAGGAGAGTTTGTAGTCACCCATCCCTGGGATATCGGCTAACTTTGCCTTTTCAGGCACGAAGTTTTGGTAAGCAGCCACGCTGCATAGGGATGGCAATGTGTTGGGTGTGGGTCGGTGAGGGCTACATCCATCACCCGACCCACCTTATATTTTCTCCACCCACCCCCACCCCCAACCCCAACCCCAACCCGCATCGGGTGGACTTTTTCAAAATCCACCCCACCCCCATCGGGTGCGGGTGCCGACTACGGTCTACGTGTACCCACCACTTATAATCTTTTTTTTTTCAAAAATTAATATTTAAATTACCAACACATAATAAAATAATAAAATTCATTAGTTATATAAAACATAAAATAATAGAAATATTTAAATATAATACCTAAATTATTAATTTTTAAAAATAAACTTAGTAGTTTAGATATAAAAATAGTAAATATTTACATGAAGTTATAAAAACTTTTATAAATAACTACATGGTGGGTCGGGTGGGATTCTAAGCGGGTTTTATACATAGAACCCGAATCCAACCTGACCCATCGTGGGTTTACTTTTCCAAAGACGCACCCCCAATCCATGACCCACTACCACTCAAAAAAACCCGATCCATGCGGGGCGGATTAAAATTGCCATCCCTAACGCTGCGTGCAGTCAGGAGTTTGTAGTCACCCCTGCCCGCGAGGTCGACTGACTTTGCATTTTCAGGCATGAAGTTTGGGTAACTAGCCATGCTGCGTACAGGACTTCGCAGTCATCTCTCCCCGCGAGGTCGACTGACTTTTTCTTTTCAGGTATGAAGTTTGGGAGGGCTGCCACGCTGTACATGGTTAGGGACTTGATTATTTTGAAGTTGATCGAGGCGTTTGGTGCTCAAGGGCTCGTAGATAGTATGCTTCGCCCACTAAGGGACTTAGCGGATTTCAAAGGTGGTTCGAGGTGTTTGGCATTCAGGAGCTCGTAGGCAGTCTGCCTCTCCTGTTGAGCAACTTAGCGGATTTCGAAGGTGGTTCGAGGTGTTTGGCGCTTAGGGCCTTGTAGGCAATATGCCTCGCCCACTAAGGGACTTAAGGGATTTTGAAGGTGGTTCGATGTGTTTGGCGCTCAAGGACTCGTAGGCAGTCTGCCTCGCTCGTAGAGTGCCACTTTCAGCACACTTTAAGGAGTCATGACATGTGTACTTGAGTGTGTAGAGTTAAAACAAACTTTTAGTACACTTTAAGGAGTCTAACGACTAGAAATCTGGCAACTCATGCACCTCTCTGGATTACCCACCGGTCTTTACCCACTAGTCATTAGGCAATTTGAAATTTTGTTTTCCCTCCAACGGAACAATTTTTCACGCCTATAAATACCCTCTTCCTTTACTAAAGAAGGTGCTGGTCACTCTAACTATTCTAGTGAGTGAAAAACGCTTAAAAATTTTCTAAGTTCTAGCGACTAGTGAGAGAGACAAAAGTTTCAAAACTACAACCAGATTTGTGAAGTCTTGAGTTGCTTCAATGTTCGAATTTCCAGATTTAAGAGACAAGATTTTCAGTTGGAGAAAAAAGAAAACTATATTCTTCATCTTTGTTTTCTCTAATTGGATTAGTAAAAAGAGGCGGAGTAAACTCGTGTTGAATTGAAAAACCTGGTATAACAGTCATCGTTGTCTTTGTGTGGGGGTGAACTGTTGGTGGTTATTGTACTACTAGCAATTTGTACGCGCGATGCGCGAAAACTTATGCCCAATATTAAAATATTTGTAAGTAACAAAATTTAAAAAATTAGTTAAAATTATGTTTTGCAATTTCTTAAAGTGATGATACTTTTGAATTATCATATATTTGAATAATATAGTGATCAAAACAAAAAAATATATATATTTTTATATAATAATAATTTACAAATAATACTAAGCTAACACTAACATATATGATATATTGATATGGATACACAAATAATATACATATATATATATATATATATATATATATATATATATATATATATATATATATATATATATATATATATATATATATATATATGATACACATATATAATTTAACATTCATATAAATATTTAATTAATATATAATTTATAATTAAATTCATTGTTATATGATAATTTGAATAAAATGATAATTAAAAATAATAAAAAAAAAAGATATGATAGATGTAGGTGTATGGTAAGTTTGGTAGATATATTAAAAACTAACGGTGTTATAACGGTGTAAGGGTGATTTTGTCCAATGCAAATGAATGTACAACAATTAAAGCAAAATGTATATATTTATTAGCATATAAAAAAGGGACAAAAATCAAGGACATAACTTGTATTGACACTTATTATGTTTTTAGATAGGGACATAGTGCAATTCTTCACGTGTTGTGAAGAATAGTGGCCTAGGCTTAGTTAAAAAATAAAAAAAATAAAAAAAAAACATTTTCTAAAAAAAAAAAATTATGAAAATATACAAAATTCACGATTAATTACCTCTTTAGTTACATTGCACATGTTAATTGATCCAATCACATTTATTTTCTTTTTCTTTAACAAAATCACAAGAATAATATTTCTTTCTTTTCCCATTTACGATTGGTATGACATTAAGAGGGTACATTGCACATGTTAACTGATCCAATCACATTTTTTTTTTGAAAATGATCCAATCACATTTATTTTCTTTTTCTTTAACAAAAGCATAAGAATAATATTTCTTTCTTTTCCCATTTACGATTGGTACGACATTAATGGCCCGTTTGGTTCACGGAATAGGCTGGGAATGACATAGCATTCCCAGTAATAGGCCTATTCTTTTGTTTGGTAACCATTTCTATTACCAGGAATAATATTCCTGGTAATAGTCTATTACCTCAAATAAGGTAATAACTATTACTAGGGCCCCCCTGGTATTAGCCTATTACTGAACGCTCAGGAATAGATTTTAGAATCTATTCTCTTTTTTACCCCTTTCTTTAACCTAATTTTTTTATCCTATATATAAACTTATCCTATTTCACCACCGTCGTCGCCACCACTACCATCACCGCCGCCGCCGCCGCCACCACCATCATCGCCACAACCGTCGCCGCCCCCACTGCCACCGCCACCACCACCACTACCACCCCAGCACCACCACTCCACCACCACCATCACCACCACCGCCACCACCATCGCCGCCGCCGCCACCACCAGAACCACCACCCAGCAACACCACCGCCACCACCATCGCCGCCCCCACCACCACTGCCACCGTCACCCCCACCACTGCCACCGCCACCACCACCACTACCACCCCAGCACCACCACCACCGCCGCCACCACCATCACCACCACCGCCACCACCACCATCGCCACCATCACATATTTTTATAAGGGTATTTATGTCTTTTAAAACATATTTCATTTCTATTCCTTAAATCAACCAAACACTGTAATATAATTCCTAAAGTCTATTCCTTCCGCGAACCAAACAATAGAATACAATTCTTATTCTATTTCTTGCATATTCCATTCTTTATGGAATAGCATTCCTATTACCTCAAAATTCATTCCGTGAACCAAACGTGCTGTAAGGGCTTCTTTGGTTCGCGAAAAAGAACTTCTAAGGAAAATGTTTTTCTAGAATTTGAGGAAAACAAGAGTTTTATGATGTTTAGTAGAAAATTAATTTTTCAAAATAAAATCTGAGTATAGGGCTGGTATCAGGGGTGACCGCGGTTCCGATTCCGGTTCCGCAAATGGACAAATCAGAATCGGAACCTTATAGTAAGGTTCCAGTTCTAGTTTCGGTTCAGAACCGGTGGTTCCGGTTGGAACCGCCGGTTCTAATCGGATTTATTTTAAAAAAAATAAATAAAAAACACTATAATTTTTAATTTTGGAATCGGAACCGCCGATTCCGGTTCCTTTTCATCTCGAACCCGGTTAAGAACCGAAACCAGAACCGCACGAACGATTCGGTTCAAACCGAACCGTGGTCACCCCTAGCTGGTATTTTGTTTTCCACGATTGGAGGGAAGAAAGATTAAGCTAATTGGACTATTTTACCCTCACAAATTCAACCAAACAATATAATCAATATTTTCTCAATAACGCTCTAAGAGGAATCTGAGGTTCGATCTCATGACCTACAACAGGAAGGAGGTTACTACATGCCATTTGAGCACAATGTGCTTGATATATATTAGAGATTTTAAAAATTTTCTTAGGTTTAAATGAACCAAATATGTTAATTAAATTTTTTAAGTAATTTAATTGTTATATTTTCAGGTAACACCAAACATGATAATTAATTTTCTTAGTAAAATTATTTTCATTAAATATAGTCTTTAAAACATTTTTCAAGAATTTACCAAACGCAGCCTAAAGCAAAACCCAAGGTGAAGAAGTGAATTAAAATAAAATTATAGTCTTCATAAATCATAATCCTCGTGAAATGTCCGTCTAGTACTTCAGCATGCTTTTTTTCCTGCGAGAAATATAAAATCCAATACTTATATACGATTCGCATGACAGAAATTGGTAGCAAAACATGGGGGAAACTTTGCTGCGTCAATGGAGTTTGATTCGATCCATAATTGCCATCCTTCAATGGTGGTTCTTCAATGTTGCCGTCATCATCATGAACAAGTGGATCTTCCAGGTTCCTCTCTCTCGCTTCTACTGCAGTAACCATTTTCCATCTTTAATGCCTTCTACTGTTGTTTCCATTGTCAGATCGGAAATTATTAATTTAGTTCACTTGGATTTTTCCTTTTGCAATTCATTTGTATATTTCATCTGGAAATTGCAATGGCGGCACACATACACACATTTTGTGTGTGTATGCATTTCATTTTGAACAGTTTAATAAATTTTCAGCTTTGGGTGTCCATTTTGGTTTGAATCTATTAAGTGATCCGGGCATTGTTTTGTTAAAATTCCCGCAAAAGAAAAAGAGAATGAAAAGGATAAATGGTGAGAGAAAGAAAAAAGGAAAGTGTGTGGAAGATTTTTTATTTTTTATTTTCCTTCTTGACAAAAGTTAGAGTGTGTTCCTTGTTCATCTTCTGTGCTGAAAGTAGTGGTTATTTGTAATCATTTATGTTCATTACTTATTCAGAATTCAATGTTAATCACTTGGTAGTGAAACACATTCTTGAACTATTCTTCCCTAATATTTTCTTGCAAGTTAACCAGAAGACAATTCCAGATGTTCCTACATTGCCTGAATCACTTCTAGGAATTTCTCTCTGAGTAGAAAAACAAAATTGCTAATAATATCAAAGATGCTCTTTTGTGCAACTCTCCTTCCTTTAACCAGTATGCATAATACTCATATTCGGAGTTGACTAAATATTCAATCTTGACTGGATCATTTTACAGAATTGCCAGAGCTTTGTGCTCCCCTATACTAGTAAACTTAGCTTAGAAGAAAACATTCTATTCCAGTGTAATAAATTCCCAAGACCTTTTGAATCAGATAATACTTCACATTCTTCCCACCCACCTATAGTAAAGTTGATAAGGTAGACAAAACATTGTTGATCTGAGCTTCTGCTGGGGTCAATGATTTGGTATTCATTCTAGACCCTTCCTAGTTTTGTACAATAACATGACAATCATTCCTCTTTCTACTGTTAGAATAATTTGCATATGGAACAATAACTTACTGCATTACATTATTTATAATTGGTTCATTAATACCCTAATGGTCTAATAGCTAATTTCATATATGAATGCAGAACTGTAAACACTTTTCTGTATTCTTTTCCACTTTTCTAGCACTATGTCCTTATCTTTTATTTTTATTATTTTTTTAAAAACATGTTACAGAAACTGGATTTTAAGTTTCCCTTGACAGTATCTTGCATTCACTTTATTTGCTCGGCTATTGGGGCATATTTAGTAATCACAGTCTTAAAGCTTAAGCCAGTTATTGTGGTTGACCCTGAGGATCGCTGGAGAAGGATTTTTCCCATGTCATTTGTCTTCTGTATCAACATTGTATTAGGGAATGTGAGCTTGAGATACATCCCCATTTCCTTTATGCAAACCATAAAGTCATTTACACCTGCAACTACAGGTGACTATTTCTTCTTCTTCTTCTTCATCTTATTATTATGATTATTGTCGTCGTCATCATCACCATCATCATCCATTGCATTGTTTCCTCTAACTACAATATGCTTGATGCAGTTATTTTGCAGTGGCTAGTATGGGGAAAGCACTTTGACTGGCGAATCTGGGCTTCTTTGATTCCCATTGTTGGAGGAATTCTCCTAACTTCAGTCACCGAGCTTAGTTTTAACATATTTGGGTTCTGTGCAGCACTAGTTGGTTGTCTTGCTACTTCTACCAAAACTATTCTTGCTGAGTCTCTGCTGCATGGGTACAAATTTGACAGGTCTTCTCTCTCTCTCTCTCTCTCTCTCCCCTCCTCTCCCAGTGTGTGTATGCACATACATATAGTTTCGTACATACCAGACTTGATTGATTTTAACATGGGACAGTGTGTTTTTTTTTATAACACCTTGAGATATTGATGAATCTATCATGAAATCCGATTTAGAAGTGATAATTAAGGAGGAAGATTCCAAACTTAGAAAATTCAATAAACTGATCAGGAAGATTACATGCTTGCATACACTGAAAAAGTTCAGTGCAAGTAAGGATAGAAGATTACATGTGCTACGTGACTGAATTGCTACCCCTTGTCCAGACAAAATATTGACACTGCTCCCCTGTGGTTAAAAGCATAGTTATTATGATATATATATATGTAAATTATTTGATTATTAGAGTTGAAGTAACTTCACCTTATGATCCAATGATTGGAATACTTGATAATTTTCATACATCTCAAAATGTAAGTTCTACATTGGATCAGTGTCACTATCATTTTTATCCATGAAGAAAAATAAAATACTCATTATTTCTCCTTTCTTTGATGTTGATGAATGCTAGTGTCTTTTTACCACTCACAGGTTGTATTTCTTTATTTTATATACAAATTAGCACACCTGATTATATATGGAGAGATTTTGTTATAGATTATTACACATGCATTCATTTATTTGGATTGAACCATCACTTTGGAGGCTTTGTTTGATTTCCAAAGTTAAAATATGAATTTAAAATATTAGAACTTTTGACTCTTCCAGTGAAAATAAAAATAGCTCTCTTCTCCCATGCCGTAATTTCCTTGGTTATGTCATTAACTGGTAGAATTTTGTGAGTTCTTTTAATATCAGTGACATATTAAAGTCAAATTACTGGACTTGTACAAATTCAAGATCTGTTTACATATTGCAATGTTTTCCAAGAGGAACACTCTTTGTTTCTTATTATTTTATACTCTATACTTCTTAACTTTGACAATTTGAACACCTATATGGCTATATGCTAGATAATGTTTGGTTATATATTTTACTTCTTACTTTGGAAATATTCATGGAACATACTTGAAAATTTCACCGTTATTATTGTTGTTGTTGTTGTTGTTATTTGTTTATATCCTTTTTATTTAACATTTCCTTTGCAAAACTTGGCAGCCTCTGACATGAAGAGTAAATTTTGAAAAAATTAATTATTTTAGTTCTTTTTGTAAGTTGTTTGGTTAAAACAATAGTGCCATCTGCTTTTCTACGTCTTACCATTGATGTTGGACAATTGGAAGGAAACAAAGGTAAAGGTAACATCGGAGAAAGGACTAAGGAGACTTACCAAGACTTGGATGAAACCAAGAACAATAAAAAGTTACGAGTTTTCAAACTAACTTATATCTTCTGGCATAGGACTCTCTCTGTCCCATAAACATTGTCCATAGTTTCTTTTTATTATGGCCCAGTGTTGTTTGTATTCTTAAAACACCACAAACAATTCCGCTTTGTAATATTACCTTTCTAATAGAAGCCAAAGAGTTAGCTATATGTGTACCTAAAATAGGATGACCTTTTTGGAATGGAGGGAGTATTAGTTTAGAGATCTGAAGAAGGCATCAGGGATTTGATGAAGCTTTGGCCTTTTTCTTTTACAATTTAGTCTCTGTTTTGCCTTCAGATTATGTGGTTGATTTCCCTTGTATCAATTTGAAGTGAAAAAACAAGATTGTAACTTTTGTTTTGGTTGACTTGTATTATTGAACGTTATTTACGGCTGACACTTTCAGTAGAGAGAAGACCCTTTGACCTGATAATATTAGGTCTTGGCAAGTGTTGGTGGTACAAGTTAGACACTTTATGAAAGACATCAAAACGAATGCATGGATTGCACAAGGAAATGAATGGAAAGGCTTCTGTTGTGAGTTGTGACACATTGAAATATTCTAGTTTTTTGCATCAAAATTTGCATTCTGTGTATTGCTTTCTCCCTTTCAACTTTTTCTCAAAAGACAAGCTAGTCATCATACCTGAAACTTAATGTGAAGGTTGCCTTTTCTTTCAGTTCCTAACAAGTTTTGTATTCAGTAGGTTCTATTTATGTATTGGCCTTTTTAGGTTATTGCTTTACTTCTAATATCCTATTGAACATGATTCTTTATAATATCCTATTCTTTATACGTGTTCACTGACATTGATTTACTTTACTCTAGCATAAATACGGTATTCTACATGGCTCCTTTCGCAACAATGATCTTGGCAGTACCAGCTTTAGTATTAGAAGGATCCGGGGTCATTGAATGGCTAAACAGTCACCCCATACTTCTTCCGTCATTTGCTATCATTTTTGGCTCTGGAGTGCTGGCATTCTGCCTCAACTTCTCTATCTTCTACGTCATCCACTCTACAACTGCTGTCACATTTAATGTTGCTGGAAACCTTAAGGTTACATTCAAACTCTATTCTCCTATTGCATTTTCATTTTCTGGTACATGTTCTATTTCAACTGAAACTACATGTGACTAAAGAATTGCATGCTGAACTTGAACTAATTTATAGCTTAGAAGTAGCAAAACTGTGGACCTAAACAAATTTTAGATTTAATTTGGAGAGGTAAAGTAGGAAATAACAAATTTAGGCTTCCCGAGAACTCAGGAATAGCCTAATACCAGGGGGACCCCTGGAATCGCTATTTCCCCATAGCTAATTCCCGGGAACAAAAAACATTACCAAACAACAGAATAGGCCTGTTGCTGGGAATGCCATTCCATTCCAAACCTATTCCGTGAACCAAACTTGGTGTAATTGGTTTGATTTAGTGGCCATTGATGAATTTTGAGGTCGTTGGTTCAAGCACTCAAAATTAAACCGTGTTACTTCTTTTCATAGACTGTCATGCACACTTCTTGTACACATCTAGTTGCCCACATAACCACCAATGTTGATTATTATTCGCAATGCTGATCATTGTATTCTTGTCTTTAACACGAACATTCCCGCTGTACCTACTACCTTCACAGGTTGCAGTTGCGGTTACTTGCTCATGGTTGATATTCAGAAACCCGATTTCAGCCTTGAATGCCATTGGGTGCTCGGTGACACTGATAGGATGTACATTCTATGGGTACGTGCGACAGCTGATCTCGCAACAAACACAGGAGACTCCGCGTACTCCCAGAAGCAAGATGGAGACGATTCCATTGGTAAATGATAAATCAGAAAATAACAAAGATAAAATGTAGTCCTTAAAGTCTATGCACAAGTCTTGTTTCTAGGATGATTATGGGTATAGAAATACCTAAATGAGGTTCCCCTTCTATTTTTATTTTATTTTTGTTTGTAATATTCCTATAATTCTTAATTAGGTTAGTTTTGTCAGCTTAATTTTCCAGTTTAAGTTATTGTATTTTTATGCTTGCTTTAATTTGTTTTTGATTGATCATTCATTATAGACATGATTGATTGATCGAGTCCAACAAATTTGACCTGGCTTATTTATACTCTTTAGTTCATTTGGAGTAGTAACAATTGTTCTTTTGGCATATGGATTTAAAAAAAAAAAAAAAAGTAAAAAAGATTTGCTAAATGATACACTTGATGACTTGAACTTAGCGAAAAAGTAGCGACATGACTTTTATGCGAATTTACATTGCTTATGTGAATGTTATATGCATAATTTTAAAAAAATTTTCTCACTAAATCTATAAAAAAAAATGAAGATTATATAAAGATAGCCATTCTATTATCTTCTATCTTGGATATATATATATATATACTAGTTTTTTACGCGCATTGCGCGATTGGGATAATGCCCAATGTTTTTTTGTTAAATAAGTACTTTAAAGTATATTAAGGCAGGATTATATTGAAATTGTTCATGCATAGATAATTGAAGGTTGAATTTGCGTATTTAAATAGGTAATTCTTCTCCCAAAGGTTGAGTCCCCAACCCCAAGGGCCCTCCACACTTCGACCCGACAGAGCATTGTGGGAAGTTGTAAATCACACTGACTCAATGGTTCAGCAGACAGGGCCAAATGCTGATACGCACAAGGAATCTGCCCACTTTGGACATAATTCCCGCACTGCTGCCGCCGAGGTTCAAACCTTGGTCTCTTTTCCCAAATACTATCCACTAAACCATTGAGCTAAGCCCGTGCGAGTTAAATAGGTAATTCTAAGTTTACAAATGCAAGATAATATAGTCAATATTGATTATAATTGTCAATAAAATAATTGTATAGGTATGGTTGAAACCAAATACGGGACATAAGAGAGAACAAATAAAAATTAGGACATAAAATATGAAATATATACTAATATTGTTTGAGGAGATTCCGACATTAGGATTTGTGGTTAAGTTCTATTAAGACTTTAATATTAGAATTAGATTAATGGTGTAGTTATAATTCTATATTAGACTTTAAGGATGAATTAGAAAATCTTAAAAGAAAAAAATTAAAACCTGAACAATATTTTTTAAAACCTGAACAATATGAACCATTCATTTGATTTAATAATTTGGCGGTCATTTTTTCTACCCAATGTTAATAATTAAATAAATTCGCTGGTAGCGAATATAATCAATTAGAGTATTAATTATGCCAACTTTGATTGGGATGAGGTTCGAACCTAAGACCTTTTTTTTTTAATTGAAATCAATGAGTAAGTTAACGGTGAACTAACGGCAATTCTTAAAATTTTAACGGAATTAGTAACGGTGTGTGGGTATTTTAGGAAATTTTAGTGTAAAATTTAAATATGATCAATCTTTTAATCAATCTGAGCCATTCATTTGATTAAAATCTGTGACCGCCATTTTTTCTACCCATTATAGGTCTAACTCTCTTGGGCTCTTATTCCAATGCTTTTTTGTTAAATAAGTACTTTAAAGTATATTAAGGCAGGATTATATTGAAATTGTTCATGCATAGATAATTGAAGGTTGAATTTGCGTATTTAAATAGGTAATTCTTCTCCCAAAGGTTGAGTCCCCAACCCCAAGGGGCCCCCACACTCCGACCCGACAGAGCATTGTGGGAAGTTGTAAATCACACTGACTCAATGGTTCAGCAGACAGGGCCAAATGTTGATACGCACAAGGAATCTGCCCACTTTGGACATAATTCCCGCACTGTTGCCGCCGAGGTTCAAACCTTGGTCTCTTTTCCCAAATACTACCCACTAAACCATTGAGCTAAGCCCGTGCGAGTTAAATAGGTAATTCTAAGTTTACAAATGCAAGATAATATAGTCAATATTGATTATAATTGTCAATAAAATAATTGTATAGGTATGGTTGAAACCAAATACGGGACATAAGGGAGAACAAATAAAAATTAGGACATAAAATATGAAATATATACTAATATTGTTTGAGGAGATTCCGACATTAGGATTTGTGGTTAAGTTCTATTAAGACTTTAATATTAGAATTAGATTAATGGTGTAGTTATAATTCTATATTAGACTTTAAGGATGAATTAGAAAATCTTAAAAGAAAAAAATTAAAACCTGAACAATATGAACCATTCATTTGATTTAATAATTTGGCGGTCATTTTTTCTACCCAATGTTAATAATTAAATAAATTCGCTGGTAGCGAATATAATCAATTAGAGTATTAATTATGCCAACTTTGATTGGGATGAGGTTCGAACCTAAGACCTTTTTTTTTTTAATTGAAATCAATGAGTAAGTTAACGGTGAACTAACGGCAATTATTAAAATTTTAACGGAATTAGTAACGGTGTGTGGGTATTTTAGGAAATTTTAGTGTAAAATTTAAATCTGATCAATTTTTAATCAATCTGAGCCATTCATTTGATTAAAATCTGTGACCGCCATTTTTTCTACCTATTATAGGTCTAACTCTCTTGGGCTCTTATTAGTATAGTAGATATATATATATATATATATATATATATATATATATATATATATATATATATCTTTGAGTGCACATTTTTCATTCTTCAAGTGCATATTTCTTTTTTTCGAGTGCATTTGTTTTGTTTCAGTACTTAGTTTCTCTTTTGAGTGTACATCTTTGTGCCTTTCAGTGCAAAACTTTAGCCTTCAAGTGCATGTTTTGCAGCTTTCAAGTGCATGTTTTCCTTTCTAAGTGCATAATTAATTTCCTTCGAATTTTCTCTTTTTGTGTCCTTTTGTTTTTTGTGTCCTTTTGTTTTTCCTCCCTTGCTTTCTAGTGATCCTCTTTATGCCTTCAAGTGCTCAATTTGATGCCTACAAGTGTATGTGTGTCTTACTATTGTGTAAAATTTTTAAAAAAAAACAAAAAAACAAAAAAAAAAAAAACAAAAAACAAAAAAGCAAAAATGCTTAGCATTCAAGTGAACCATTTTTTTCCTTCAACAGATTTTTTGCCTTCAAGTACACATTTTTATGCTTTCAAGTGCATGTTTCTTTGCCTTCAAGTGCACAATTCTGGACAATATTTGTTATATCTTGTGCATTCTTTTCAATAAAATATAACTAAATTTCTAATGAAATTTGTGAGATTTACAAACGATTTGTATGGGTAATTGGTTTAATAACACTTAAGTTGCATAACCTCCCTTTTTGGTATCATAAATTGTATCAATTGCACATCTATTTGCCTTTGAGTGCAATTTTTTTGCCTTCAAGTGTACATTTTTGTACCTTCAAGTGCATGGTTTTGAGCTTCAAGTGCACATTTCGTATAGAATTTATTTAAAGAGATTCGTTGATCATGGTTCACCGCATTTTAGCACCGGAAGTGGCATGCGCACCTGATCCTATATATATATATATATATATATATATATATATATATATATATATATATATATGTATATATATATATATATATACATATATATATATATATATATATATATATATATATATATATATATATATATATGAGATCAAATGCGGTAATAGGCTTTAGGTGCGAAGATGGAGTTTAATCTCAACCGTTGATCTAATCAAAATCAACATCCCAGATTGAACATAGATTATAAAAATAACGTAGTGGCAATTTGGTCTTTTTGCATCTAAGTCAAATTTAAGGTACGTAATTTTCCTTCTTTAAGGTGCGTGGTTTCTGTGATGTGTGCTTAAGGTGCGTTAGTTGTTTAAACTTAAAGTGCATCGGTCTAAAGCTTTAGGTGCGTGGTTTTCCTTCTTAAGGTGCATGGTCTGTGTGCTTAAGGTGCGACAGTTGTTGAAACTTAATGTGCGTTGTTTTCCTTCTTAAGGTGTGTCGTTTTCCTTCTTAAGGTGCGTCGGCCTAAAGCTTTAGGTGCGTGGTTTTCCTTCTTAAGATGCATTGTTTTCCTTCTTAAGGTGCTTTGTTTCCCTTCTTAAGGTGCGTTGTTTTCCTTCTTAAGGTGCGCCATTTTTACAGTTTGCTTCTGATAGGAATATTTTTGCACTATAATTTTGATGAGCCAAATGTATTTTAGATCCCCTTAGATTTTAGGATTTTAAGTATAAGCATCATAATCCTGAAAGTCAAGCCAAAAGGAAGCAAAGAAAGAAAAGTCTACTATATGGAGAACAAAATTAATTTGAAGAATTAATTTTGGTCCCACAAGTATCCATTCGGAAGACAAGTATTAAACATTGTTGCTACAATGAACAATCTGATGAGCCCACTGACGAAATGGTAGAAGTCTTTGCACACATTGATTACACCCAGGATCAAATGCCCTTAAAGATTTATTTTTTAAGTCAAAACTGAAGGTATACATCAAGCTTGAATCTTGGTCAAATAAGCAAGAAGTGGCCGAGTCAAGAAGAGGTTAATTCTCTCAATCTGATTTTTACATACTAGAAGGCAAAACATGCACAATGTGATATATCAAAAACAAGCAAGATGTTCTCAAGCAAGAAGCTCAAAATGCACAAAAGAAATATCTGAGTTGCACGGTCAAAATCAAGAAGCAAGATATGACTGATTTGAGATAAGCAAAGGTGACAAACAAGCAAGATGATCAAAATCTACAAGATAGAAGGAATGTTGAATAATTCGAATGAATTATTAAGTGCACCCACATGTCACAAAATTCCAAATGCCTGAAGACATGATCAGAACGGTGAAAAATTAATGTTATCTTTATGACAAGAACATGGAGGCTTGAAGAATATCTTATCTTCATAAACAACTTGAAGATTAACTCAGAAGATTTAATTCTTGTCAGAGAGACGTTGGTGATCAAAGAAGAAGAAGAAGATATTATTTTTTAGAAACAACTTCAAAATCAAGTTTTATAAAAAAATATTATCTTGTCAGAACAAGTTGGCAATCAATCAAAATGAAGATATCATATTGTCAACAATATCAGGCTATGAAATTCAAATATCAAATTATCCCGCTCCAACGAATACATTTGATCATCTATATAAAGCCATGAAGACTTGAAGATCAGCAGGAGGTGAAAAGGCAAGAGAAAT